GAGACTGAGGATGTGAGGTCCTGGGGGGCATCTCTAAGACAGGCTTTGATTTCTCTCCATTTAGCACCACCTGCTCCTGACCTGGGTGAGAGGACCCTCCTGGTGTTTCCTCTACTGAGTGCTCTGGCTCAATGGGGCTGTGTTTTGCCCTCCCATTGGCTGCACTGGCCAGCTGCCTGCTTCCTGTGGACTGTTGTATCACATGTGACCCGACAGTCATAGCAGCAGTAAAGTCCTTGGAGACAGACTACCTGCCTGGACACTTGGATGACAAAGGTCACAAAAAAGTGATGGATATTGTACACAAAACTCTGAACGAATTCAAGGAACTGCCGATTAAAGAGGGTTCCTATATGGGAGCCGTAGGTGAGGCCAGGGCATGTTTGGTGCTTCCCATAAGAGGGTTTTGGTCAGGATTTCTAGGGCCAGAGATGAAAGGGGCTGGGCCAGGTTCTCCTGATCTACAGAAGTCTGTGATACAGATTCCAGGCCCTCCCAGAGCTAGCAAACACTGTTTTTCTACTTCCTATCTAGCAATTATCTGTAAGAAAACAATTCCCCGAGGGAAACAGAATAGTGAGTTCCATAATTAGGTCTATCCTTGCAGTGTGTTCCCATGGGCATGGTAGAAATTACAGGAGGCAGTAAAGTTGGAACATGGTGTTCTTTGTCTGCCCATAGATGAAAAAACAATAAAACACGCAGCCTCGAATTTCTTGAGGGAGCTGAAAGTCATCACAGACAGTGATGTAGAAGGTTAGTGTACCCAAGGGCTGGGGGGWCCTGAATCTCGGGGCAGCCATTGCTGTCAGTGACGACTCTTGGCTGGTATGATGCAGGACGCTGGAACCAGATTTCCTAGGTTCAAATTCTGGCTCTGCCACTTCCTACCCATGTGGCCCTGAGCAAGAAACTGGGCAGTTTCCTCAGCTCTACACTGGACAGCATCACAGTGCCCTCCTCCCTCAGCTCCTGGGAGGTTAGGTGGATTGATTCCTGTGCATTGCTTAGCCCAGTGACTGGCACTGTGTGAAGTACTTGATTTCTGTGCCCCTTCCTGAGAAGGCAGAAAGGGGAAGGCCAGCCCCCTCAGGTAGCGCCTGCCCCACAGTCTGTGGTGCTCAGGAGGGCTGAGACAGGAGGATCAGTTGGGATCAGAAGTCCAGACACACCAGCCTGAACGACAGCTAGAGGCTGTTTCAAAAAATAATAACAATAACAATGCCAACTCCATAGACAGAGGCCCCATGAGGACCTGCACCACCGAGAGAGGAACAGCTGAGCCACGCCCCACTCTTTTCCAGGGGAGGAATTCGTGAGGCAGTTGTACTGGATGTTGGACAAGGAAAAGGGGGATTTTATGCACGAGTCTGCTCAGTTCCTGAAGGAGGGTGAGGGAAGATGGGAACCCTGGGCCCGGCCTACCCTATCTCCCTTCCACCTTCTGAATCCCTCTTTGCAGCCCCCTGCATCTCCACATCCAGGCCTTGGCTTCCTCAGTCCCCKCCTCCTGCCTGCCCTTCAGGGGGAACTTCCCTCAGGCCCTTTCCCCAGGAAAGCAAGAACCCACGCCTCAGCTCCTCCCCAGCCCCTCTCCCACCCTTCTTCAT